AATGATATTTGTGATACTAATGCTAGCATTGCGTAAAAATGAATGATTAATTACAGAAACTTTCAAATGTTGAAAGTAATATTCAATGTTGTAATAGACAAGTTGTTAACCATTCAACCCTGATCTCTTCATTATTTGAACTATTTTGAAATAACTTACTAAACTTTAAAATAAGTAGACGACTGTCAGTTAGATACTTTTTTGACTTGTTGATTATTATTGCTACATCTACTTCCCAATTATAAATTAAAATGATTATAATATATTTCTAAGGAATATCGAAATATTGTTTTTACTTTATTTAATTAAACAGCTATTCTGCTATAAACTACGCTTCGTAATGCCTTTTTTAAATGGGGAAAATCATCGAATGACTGCTCCCGTCTGGGTGAGGCGGGAGCGAGTGTCAGACTCTTACTGACTAAAAACCACCCCGTTTCATCCACGTTGCTGCACGTTGAGCCGGAGCCCCGGTAACCCGTTAGGTTCTCCGCGACACGCTTCATAATGCCTAACAATATAACAATAATATTTTCAATTCTTCGATGTTCTTGACGTATGAATTCATAAATTGTGAAGTTGTGATTCTCTAATGTCGAGAGTATAACAAAAGCGGTGCTGATCGCTTACCATCAAGATTCGTAACACATAAAAAACCGGACACATTTTTGCAAAACCGGACATTTATTGTGGCCATACCTTTAGCGCGTATTTTAATATCAGCCAGATAACGGGGCTGGCAGCATACAAACATCCGATCTGGGACGCTGTGCGGTGCGTCGTGTATTTAAAGCGAAATTATATGAACCTAATGTTATACTGAACATCGACGCAGCCATGAATATTCTGGTGAGTTCTATACTCTTACTTGCTTTAGAGGTCCATCCGCGTGTAATTGTTATTTTAGATGGAGACTTAAATTCTGTTCTTCAAACTCAAACTCAAAGTCTTTATTTTCGCGTTAAGGTAATACATACAGGTCTTAAATGAAATAATAGGCACAGCTTAACGGCCTTTTTCAGGCGTTGCAAATTTTTGGGCTGTCACTAGCTTATTATAAATTACATTTGCTTAACATTTATTTTTTTAACATATTTATTGATTTGTTCGGAATATAGGTAAGTACTTAAGTATATAATATATTAGTGGGTTAATATATTAGTGTCTTTCCAAAGATCAAAGTCTCATCTATCTACATCTGTATCTTGTTGTATCAAAATCGATTTTATATGTTTCTTCTTTGAGTCAGACATATCTCAAGTTACTTAGTGTCGGTAGAACATGTATCTATTGTTTTTTCATTAAAATTATAATTTCTTTTTTGTTATATTTACGTGAGAATATCCTTCATTTCTAAAATTAAACATTAATCATTTTTTGGCAAGTCAATTAATTAAAAATCAATGAACAATAGATACAGCCAGTTGTGAATGTGTAAATAAAATTATCGTGTGAACATTTGATTGGGGCTCATAATAGGTACTTAATTATCGTTAGATAGATGTCTTCAATGATAAACTTCTAAGGAAATATTGCTTGATGCCATAATTTATTTTTTTATAATTAAGAATCAGCTGGCCATTTCACCATTTTTTGATCTTGTTGGGGTAGACGTTTTCTACTATGTCCTTCTATAAGGCTGTCAAAGCTGAAATATTGAGATCAACGACGTACCTATTCAATAGTAATGAATTTTCTATCCAAGCTGGATGAAGGCTTATCATTGGAGAAATGGCTTGATATTGAAGATATTCTGTCAGCATACAAATCTTACTTTCCAGAGATTAACAGATAACGCACCACTAAACCTACGGCTCTTTACATTTTCTTTCTTATGTGTGACTGTATCTTTGGCTTAATTGGGATGATGACAGGGTATGACAATTAAAAATCTAATTATTCCGTAAGTTAGATAATGAAAAAATATTAGACACGTATTTTTTTATTGTGTTGTATAATAAAATAATACTTAGATAAAACGAATCAAAGTTTAGGAGTGGGGCAAAAACGTCATTTCTACGTATAAAATGTACCTACATAGAAGTGACGTCAAACGACATTTCAAATCAATATATCGTCGCATGTATTCGTTTCTGTAAGAAAATAAAAAATACGTGTCTAATGATTTAAAATAATCTACCAGACGGACATTAAAACAAAAATTAGGTATCTACCCTATTGTAACTATCGCAATGATTCGTTATAAGTCAACGGGTTATCCATCCGGGAAATAACATTCATTATTTTTTATATATATACGTAATTTAATATAAGGAAAATCATTCGTTTTAGCTTATCAATGAAATATTAATTTGTGTTAAACCCATGCACAATATTATGTTCTCTCAAAATAGTACGTATCAAATTTCAGACATGCAATTTAAATAATCAAATTATATGACGTAACAGGCGTGTTACGTACTATACCAGGTTTTATTTAAAATTAATTCTCCTTCAATTCCAGGTACCAATTCTTATCATCACCGTCACCTTCCACATCGTATCACCAGCTCCATTGGACTATCTTCACCAGTACGAGCTGACGATGCTGAACAAGCTCCACAAACCTTGGTTCCAACCTGATAAGCATCAGGAGTATCCTAGGAAGGGAGAGTATCCCAGGAAAGGAGAGTACCCATGCAAGGGAGGAATCTGCAAGACTAAAGTGGTTCCTGATTGTGAAGATTGCCAATATCAGATGCGTTTGAGATTTTAAAGATGGGTAAAGGTCTTAGAAGATAGAGATAGATATAGAAGAAGAAGATCTTTAAAGTTCTTTGTATAAAGAACTCCATGGGAGTTTTAGAGACCACAGAGCACTACTAGACTATGATTAAAGTTAAAGACAAAAATTCATCAGCAACCACCTTTGAAAGTCAGGCTTTACTATAGGACTCCCTCTTTGCCACAGTTGCCGTTTTAGGGAACAAAGAGTATAGTTCCCTACGATCGGAAATAGAGGATCCTCCGACCAGGCGAGGTGATCGTGCCTGGCGGGCTTTCTGCCCAACAGTTGTTCGTTGGGATTTTCTATTCATGTTTATTCACTTGTAAACTTTACATGTGCGATGTAGGATTCTTGTGACGTCATCCATTTATTTGTGACGTGACATGTGTAGCCACACCGTAAAAGCCAACTAAAAGACTTGACTATTGGTAGAGACCGGACAGCAGTGCTCTGTGTTAACCTATGATTGATTGAAACTTTTAAACTACTTCATCTCAACTACAACAGTAACAACTCCTAATCTCCAAAATTCCCAAAAGGCCGGTAATGCACTTGTAACGCCTCTGGTGTTCCAGGTGTCCATGGGCGACGCCAACTGCTTACGCGTTGATCTGATACACATGATCCCTCAGCTCGTTTACGGGCTTATCCCATAAAAAGTCATGGTCTTAATTTATTACTCGTGCCTCACCTAAAGACTGATTACCTACCTATGTATATGTGTTATGAAATGTCAAGTGAGTACGTTATGTATTATGAAGATTTTAAACGATGAAGATAAATGTATATACTTACATACACAATTATGTATTTAACTTAAAATAATAAAAATATATCAATTATTTTTTACTGTCGTTAAATTATTATCCATCAAAAATAATTTCATGTAAAATGTTGCCAAGTCGAAACCTTGAACTGTCATAGAATTTGATCTCATGTAAAAATAACTTTCTAACTGTACATACACTGTGTAAATGACAGTAGTGTCGATGTGAGTGCTGCGAACTAATTAGCGGTGTTTTGTGTACACGCCCTTTTTTCATTTCTTCTAGCTATATAGAAAGGGTTGTGCTGCACAAGCCCTCCAAGATAAAATTACTACGACCGGTAGAATTCTTACCTAATTATATTCTACCATACTGGAAATCACCGTCAGCACCGCCTGCGTCGACAATATATAACAACAGTAACAATACATACTTTATTCGTAACAAAAATACAAAATACAATATCTTAAGTACGTACATACAATTGATCTCACATAGTTAGATACCTGCACTAGGACAATCCTGTATCGCAGGCGAGAGGAGCTCTAAATATAATTCTTACAGTACTCGACACACACGCAGTAAACATTACTTCTTTCTTTCTTTGACTACAGGGGTACCATTTCTCTTTTTATTGTCGTGTTCATTTTCCGTGGACTTATATAAATTAATAGCCTATTAGTGACCACTGACGACCAAAGGCCTCTTCTCGAACGGAAAAGGTTTTATCGTCACGCTTTTATAAGTACCTTGATGTATTGTTAGTGTTAATGCAATAGGTATTATTATTGCACCGTCCTTTACTAAAGATCTGATTATAATATTAGGTAAACAGGAACAAAATCGTGCACTAACGTTGTTTAACTTGGATCTGGTAAAAGCGGTGCAACTACCATTTGACCGTAGTAACCTTTTACGAAACTTGACTCACAGTCACATCTTGAGCAACTGATAAAACTATGTGTATCCATAGTGTACCTACTAACAAAATTGGCTTTATCCTTTTTATTTATCTGCTTATTTCAATTAAGGTTATTTTATCATAGTTAAACCTGAACTCAATGCTCGATTTAACAAGAAAAATATTCCAAAATTCATGGATGAATCAGAGCCGTAATGACTCAATGGCACTACAAACTAAAAAATATTTATCAAAAAAAGGGTTTTCTCAACGATAACATAAAAAAATTATAAAAACAAACTACCTAATACATTAAGTGCGTGTAACACGTGAAGGACAACTAACTATCTCTAAGATAATCGCAAAAATTCCTTAGTTTTTCACAACAACAGACTTCTTAGTGCCCTCTCATAAAAGTAAAACCTCCTTGGTAATCCAACCGGCCAGTAGTAAAGAGGCTGTACACGCGCGTGGCTGTTGCCCACCGCCATTACTAAAATTTACGCGCGAAAACTAATTATGTCAAATGAAATAGTTTTATTAATTTATTTTTACAAATGTTGACAGAAAGTATTATTTGAACCAAGTTTTGTTATAAGTTATTGTTTGTTTAACGTGTATTATAATTATTTAGTGAAAATGTTAAAATTTATGTTGTGTGCCAATGTGTTCCTATTTTTGGCGCCGTATACCAGTGTGGCTGAGGACAATAGAACGACTTTGGGATATCCAGCGGGATTGATGTCTATTTGTAAGTATTTTTCGCTTTTTATCTGTTTCTTCCATTGTTGGTTCACAAAATGTTAACAATAGTTAACGATATCGTTACGCTTCAGTCAAAATTAGTTTTTTCTTTTTAAAAAACTTAGCCCTACACTTGGATTTTCTCCTGTGTCGTGGGTCTGCAAAAATACAATTTCACATGCACATGACACCCAGACCAGAAACAACAATTTGTGGATCACACAAAGAGTTGCTCCGTGCGGGAATCGAACCCGCTACTCGTTGCACAGCAGCCAGTGGCCACCGCGCAAACCGTGCAGTTGAAGTCGAATTAGTAATTTATCTATAATTCCACGACTCTTCATACCTATCTACTCTAAGGGGTAAGCATAAGCAGAAAGGCACAAACATAACGTAACGCCCATTTTTACTTGTAACAGTCTCATGGAATAAGGAGAGCACGTATTACCACGTACCGGGCATTATATCAAATTCCATTCTATTCCTGATAAAATCCGATAACAACTTACTCATTTCTACTTAAGGGAATCGAAACCTATTACATTTCCTACTATATTCTTTATTTTATTTTTTTGCCCCACACTAGGATTTTCTCCTGCGTTTACAAACATACAAATTCACATACACATGACACCCAGACCCGGAACAACAATTTGTGGATCACACAAAGTGTTGTTACGTGCGGGAATCGAACCCGCGACACATTGCACGGCAGCCGGTTGCCTAGCCACCGCACCAACCGTGCAGTCCAAGTATATACGTAGGTATTATGTATAGTAACGATGGTGTTTCTTGCTCGTTCCTCTCTATTGGTTTAGGCTGGCAACGCAGCTGTGACTCCTCTGGTGTTCCGGTGTCCATGGACGGCCGTGATCGCTTACCACTAAGTGATCTGTCTGCTCGTTTGCCTGCTATTCCATAAAAAAAATATTAAACTACACTTTGGAACGAGCGCCGAGCTTTACTGACATGCAGACGGACGGACGGACAATTAAATTTTTAACGTTTCAAAACTATCTAATTAAGGTTTTATTGAAATAAATGCTTTGATTTTGACTTATAGTTATAACTTAAACATTAAGAAAAGGAAATCATATGTAGATAACTATATTAGGCAATCTCACTCAATATTCGACACGAAATTAGAAACAAAGAAAGAAATCCATTTATTCTTGCGCAGAACACACATAACATAGTATAAAAAATAATAATATAAAGCGAGGGTAAACCAAGGCAGGTACAATAGAAATATTAGAGATCTAAGTAATATAAATTAAAAATACCAAGGTTCAAAGAATCTATCAAATTACTCAAATAGCTTTTAGTCTCTAGACATTATTAATATCTTCGTCCATGAAATACATTCACTTAGATCCTATACCTACATAAGTAATTAAGTTTATAATACAAATCGATAAACAGTGATTGGCACGCCGCCAATATAGGTAACCAAGCATTCATATTAATAATCAATCTACCTCGGTTATCTTAGTATGTTATAGACTACAATATCTCCTATATACTAAGTTAATCTTGTCTTTAATATTAAATCATTAGTGAGATCTTGCACCGTTTGTAATATGTCGCCGCAGTTATGCTATCAGGCTCCTTTATGTAATAAAGGGTAACTTTAATGCCTAAATCTTCATTTAATTAATTAGATATTCTATAAAATCTCTAAGTTTTAAGCTTAATATATGAAAACCCTTCAGTACCTACCAGTTTGACAAATAAAAATATTTTCGCAAATAGGATGCTTGATATTTTTAATGACATAAGTCGGTACCTAAACTAGCTGACAGATCACCTGATAGTAAGTAGTCGGCGCCGCCCATGGACACCTGGAACACCAGAGGTGTCACAACTACGGTACCGGCCTTTTTGGATTGGGTATTTGAGATTGGGGAGACTGGGGAGGAATAATTGGGCCTCCGGTAACTCCACTCACACGACGAAACACAACGTAAGCGTTCTTTCACGTCGGTTTTCTGTGAGGCCGTGGTATTACTCCCGTCAAGCCGGCCCATTCGTGCCGAAGCATGACTCCCCACACTTGATAAAGTATTCTCAACGAAAAGATCTAATTTCACTTTGGCCTACGTGGTAATGAGCTTCACATCTCATATTCAACGGCAAAACATGTGATCAACCCACAAAAGAATCAACTTCAAAGACTACAAGAACAAACACGTGATAACTCATCACATCCTTAATGAAAATCAAAACAGTCTAAATTAAGTTTAACAATAAACAATTGAAGGATTCCTAACATTGTATTCTGCACCGCATACCTATTGGCAATGACCTCAAATTACTTTGACAACAGGAAAACAATAGCTCATGTATGTACGTCAAGAATTTTGGGAGGATCCATCTTGTTTTCACTGTCACTTTTGACAGCGTCAATCAAAAACAATATAGAGGTCGCTGAGGTCAACGTAGTAATACGAATTCAATAGAATCTGTTTCGGCATAAAAAAAATGTAGACAAATTCTAACTACTTACTTAATTATTAATTCTTAGCTACCAGAAAAACTACGTAATTTAAAATAATAGTAGGTAACACCATTCTAAGTTTATATTTTTTGGTGAAATTGACGTCTGAACTGCTTGATTGATGTTTTGACGTCTCGAAGGTTGTTGTTTTTATCAGTGATTGGTATTCAGTGGTTATACCATTTATCACATAGTCAAGTATAACGTCATTCTTTTTATCACCAAAGAATATTCATTGACCGACCCGGGAATCGGAACCAATCTTTCGACAAATAAGATAGCAGTTATATTTATAAAATTATTTATTTATTTATTTAAGTTTCATACAATTGCATAAGGAAGACTTAATGCCAACAGCATTCTCTGCCAGTCATCCTTTGGGTAGTGCAGAAATGTATGTGGTAGGTGGTAAGCTGCAAAAAGGTCATGAGAGATAGTGGTAATTATCCAAATTAATAAAAGGGTATCAAAAGCATACAAATTAGTTATTATTCCTTAAATGATAGGCTGACATTTAGCTAATTTTCAGAAAGTAGGAGTCTAACTTTTTAGACAAAATCAATCATAATTTAACCAGATATACCTACCTACTTTGAGCCAATCTGGAAAAGACTAACAAACTAATCACAAGGCACAAAGCCTTTCCTTCAAATTGTAATTTAAATCACGCAATTTCCAAATGATTTATTTATTTACTCTGACAACACTCGTATTTAGAATTAATTTCCGTGTCACTGAGAAATATATGTTTATAGATCGGACTATTACTTATTTGTTGTGAATACTAAGCAGTAGAGGTAACTAACTATCCTCTTGTGAGGTTGTACTCCTAAGTTCCTTATTTCTGATAGTGGAATTTTGTTTAAAAACACACAGACGGATATTACTTAGTTTAGGTACCTGGAAGGATCCAGACTCCGTTCTGTTAATCACCCATGAACACCCGAAACACCAGAGATGTGTTTTGGGGATTAATAATTTGAGCATTGTTGGGGATTCGGAAAGATTGGGGAGAGGGGTAATTGGACCTCCGGTAACCGATGAAACTCAACGCAAGCGTTGTTTCACGTTGATTTTCTGTAAGGTCATTCGTGCCGAAACATGGCACACTTTAGAATTAATACTATTTAATTCTAAAGTGTAGAATTAATACTATTTAACTCGACACTTGGTAGTAGATCTAAGAGCCATGAAACCACCACAGATGAGGCGCAATAGGGCTGATGCCCGATACGGAACCGCGGAAGGCCTTGCGAGTTGCAAGGGCGTAGGAACAGGGTTGTTTTTAATCAGTAAGAGTCTGACACTCTCTCTCGCCTAACCCGAGGCGGGAGAAGACATTGTATGATGATCCCCCGCACAAAAACGACCCCCGAATTTACTGTCAAACAGTTAAATATGCATAACATTATGCACAACAACAACCTTTTAAATCAATTTACCACTAAGCACGGTAAAATACACACACACATACAAAAACTGTCACCACAAAATTAATAGAGCATAATCTTGTGATGCAAGCACTCACACACACACACACACTGCACTCATAGTAGCACACATCATACATAAGGAGACGCACAACTCTTCCGCTATCATTACACTACATCGTTTTTAGTATAAATAGGAGTATACATAAGAATATGAGAGTAAAAAACGTAATAATATCGAATCGCGATGTTCCCATAATCACAATACATCGTTTGGTATTTTATTGCAGAGATTTAAGTAGTAGAGTATTAAGTAGCTTGTTTATTAGCTGGTTGACTGGCTAACTGTTCAATATGTCAAGTGTTTGCTTCACGTGTCCAAAACCATTAATAGCCAGAGATCAGGAGATTAAGCATTTTATTTAGAAGCGGTCAAATTAGATGATGTTCTCATCAAATACATTATGATTCGAGAGGAAAAGTAGAGTGCATTATTTAGGTATCTAGTAAGATCTGAGACTAAGAAACCATTCAAAGTAGAAAACATATCTTTTTCCAGGTCCCGGCTCCACAAAACCAGCCACAATCCCCAAGAGCCAGCTGAAGTACTTGTCGTTCGTGGTACAGGGTAACGGTCGGAGTAGATACAAGTACTCATATTGGAATGCGAAGAATATCGCCAATGATCCACGGATTAATTTTAAAAGGTATATAATTACTTTAGTCCTAACATAATCAGACATTATTGTAATGTAAGTAGCCACACTTGATGATGAGAGGTCATCCTAAAATGTACATTCGGATGAATAACGAGCACGAACCATACTTGGATACTCTTCTTTGTTTAAGTCTGGTGACGGTAGAATAAAGTACATTCGTCCTGCAGGTCTCGTAAGAGCCAACCAAGGGACTTCTTTCACAGAGATTACGCAGCAGCTCTCTGATGTATGTACCTTACCTCATCACCTGTTAACTTTCTTATCTAGAGAAGGTTCATAGCCCAGTAATGTACTGTCACGGGCTGTTGACGATTATGATGATAATAACTCATCCGAAGGTCCAATAACCCCCTCTCCTTCCCCAATCCCTGAATGCCGAATAATCCTCAAATTCCTAATGCCAAAAGGCAGGTAGCGCACTTGTAACGCCTCTGGTGTTCCAGTTGTCCATTGGCGACGCCGATTGCTTACCATCAGGTGGTCCGTCTGCTCGTTTACCGGCTTATCCCATAAATAAAAGTCCACTTACTCCAACATGAAATAATAAAACTATTATATTATATTTTCAGAAAGACGTTACTAGTGGCCATCGGCTACCTGGACAGTCCCAACCTGCCAATTTCTGCAATGTTTGCTAATGAGTACGAGGATCGAGGGTACAACGTCATCTTGGTGGATAACCAGAGATTTGCTACTGTGCATTATCATTTGTAAGTATATATCCTTTAAGACCTGTACTAAAACAATAAAAAAGTAATGCTTAATAGCGTTTCTGCCCACGGAGCTGCCGCCGCACCGCCGTGCTTATACCCTCTGTTGTTGTGGGCATTATTGGCAAAACACAATGCCAGCACAATTTTTTCCCAGCTGAAGTATAAGAGATGACAAGAACCATTCCTATGTAAATACGCCTATTCTCATACTTAGTTCATTTTCATTCTGTCGTTTATTTAATTACAAAAATAACATCACTATCATTATTTTTACTTCCAGAGCAACCCGCCTCATGCGTCCAGTAGGCAAGCACGTCGCAGAAGTACTAGCCCAACTAACTCAATACGGTTTAGATCCATCTACACTGGAAATCCTGGGTTTTAGTCTAGGCTGCCATACGGCAGGATTCATAGCAAAACATTTTCATACATTTACGGGACGAAATATATCTTCCATCACAGCTTTAGAACCGTCTGGACCATGTTTTAGGTACCTTGGACCTAAGGATCGCCTGGATGCCTCAGACGCAGATTTTGTCCAGGTCATCCATACAAATATTGATGGTTACGGCATGGCCACTCCTATGGGTCATATAGATTTCTATGTAAATGGTGGGGAATACCAACCATCAGACATTAGCATCTACCCTTGCACGACCACTTGTAGTCACTTCAGGATCCTCCCAATTTGGATTTCTGCTCTAAAAAACCCTAGAAAATTTATTGGAATGAAGTGCAAAGATATTCAGCAAGCAAGGGATTCCCAGTGCTATGGGAATGTCCCTCTAGAGACTATTGTAATGGGGCTTGGTATTGATAGAAGAAAAAGGGGTATATTTTACTTAGCAACTACAATGGAGTATCCTTTTTATTTAGGAGCGAAAGGATTGAAAGAAGAGTATGTCTATTGGAAAAGGATGACGAATGTTAACAGTGGGAATGAGACGGAAATATATACGTAAAGAAGATTAGAAGAAGACAAAATAGCATTTTTATTTGGTACAATTTGTGGAAGACAAAGGTAGGAAATATTTTTGATCGATTTGGTGTTTTGGAAGAATAAATAAAGTTGTGGTGTCGAGAATTGGAACTTAGGAGTTTGGTAGTAAGTTAAGGTTGAAAGTACAAAGATTTTTTTATTATTTTGTAAAAGTATTGTTTGTTAAAACGAGACATTGTTGCTCATTGCAATAGGGTAGTTTCCTAAATTTTATTTTAATGTCCGTCTGGTACATTAATTTATAACTTCAGACACGTATTTTTTCTTTTCTTACTAAATTAAATACTTTCGTATATATATTAACTTGAAATATCGTGTGACGTCACAGCGTGTCACATTTTGTAGCACGTTATGACGTAACGACCTTCCACTCCTAAACTTAGCGCCATTTTATCTAAGTAGGTATTGCAACTTAATACGAGAAAAAAATACGTGTCTAATATTTTTTCATTATCTAACTGACGGACTAATTAGATTTTTAATTTTGATACCCTGGACACAACCCAATTGTGAACCTAGAGATTATGTCAAGTTAGAACAATAAACACTAATAGCGGGAAAATGCATAAAACGATGTGACTAGTATGAGAGTTACTTCTATTGTAAAACATCACGAAAATTTTACAAATAAAATACATATGAAAGTACAAAGTAAAATAGTGTTTTGTTCCCATAGTTTAAGGCTTATTTTTCGACGCAATACTATCAGATACTTATCACTTTAATCGTGACAGATGCCAACATACTGATGCCGATATGAAACTGTACCAGTGGGTACAATAATAAATGTATGACAAAATATATGACAAGCTTTTGAAACTACGCACATAATGAGATTATTTCGCCTCCATATATTATTGGGCGTCTTCTGAAAGTGACGGTCAACGAAAAAAATGGTACGTATTGTTAAAACTAGCCATTTGGAACAATAGATAACATGGCTTAAAAGTTGTAGGATTTCGAAGATTCATAATTTTCATACCTTTATTGCTTTCTAAAGGTGGTCCCGCCACGGTACAGAGTAGCTGAGTTGAAACGAGGTACTTTTTAGTCAGTGACGGTCTATTTTTAAGGGTAAAGATCATCGAATGACTGCTCCCGCCTGGGTGAGGCGGGAGGGAGTGTCAGACTCTTCCTGACTAAAAACCACCCCGTTCCTACTCCGGCACTTCGAACCGGTGCCCCGGCACCCTGTTAAGTTCTCCGTGGCGGCACTCCTTCCTAATTCTCCAGGACGAGAAGAGTCAGTTGACGAAATTTTAACAAATAAAAAAAAATGAGGCAACTACGAAATCTTTTCGCATTCTCATCACAATTGCCTCAGATTTTTTATTCTAGTAATATCGATAATTATTTTGCGTTTCTTGGCACCCTTAAAAAGATGATGAAACAAAAAATGTATGGAAATGATGAATCTTCCAACGGGTTTTTTTTTAGGGGGGAAAATCATCGAATGACTGCTCCCGCCTGGGTGAGGCAGGAGGGAGTGTCAGACTGTTACTGGCTAAAAACCACCCAGTTCCTTTTCCTGCACGTCGAGTCAGAGCTCCGGTAACCCGTTAGGTTCTCCGCGACTCTCAACGTGTATAACTTCTTCATTTTGTATCCCACAACTTTTTCGCCAAAATAATTCACTATCACTGTTTTCCCTATTGGAGTAGGACCTTAGATAGCGAAATCGACACAGGCAATCTAAACCTATTGATGGAGGTATGAAGGCGTACAGCAGTAGAAATTTAGTGGATGTGGCTGATACAAATCATTGAATTATTTTCAACTTAAGTAATGAGGGATGACCAACGTGATATCGATTTTTGTACCTCATACATTTTTATATATTATTTGGATATACATTTTTTAGATTTAATAAAGGCAATACGCATTTCCTTGGTCCTGTAAATACATTTTGTAATAACAAAACTTGACACACAGTCGCAATACTTATAAAAGTACTTAAATAGAAATATCTACATACATAAAACAAACATACATAGGTAAGTACGTTTGTACGTTAACTATTGAATGAAATGACAGTTTGTCCTCGTATTTTGGACGGAAACTCCACGATAAACATCGACGAAGGTTTTACTTTCAAACTTCATATCAAATTATTTGAAACAACTTGTTTTGTTGTAGTTATGAAATAGTTAAGCTTATGCCTCGTTGGTTTACGGACAGGCTTCATAATTTATGTATCGGCAGATAGATACCATACATCTATACAGATATAAATGAAATTGAAGCGTCTGTTTATAAAAATCAAATAACCGCTTTTTACGACATGCATATCAATATACATACGATACACATACCACTTTTTTTTGTCTGGCTGTTTGTAATGGCTAATCTCTGAAAAAGCTGGGAACGATGTTGCAAGACTTTTATTGACAGGTAGCTGATGTACTAAGAAGTAACCTAAGCTACTCTTATTTTGGAAAATTGAAACAAAAATAAAGGTCATACTGGTGGGCAACAGCTGAGATAGAATTGTGTACAGAGGCCTTAATACGGGTCTGTTTTATGTTTAAAGTATTCGTAACGAGTACGCGTTCGACACTCTGATTGGCCGGCGCCAATGAAGCAACCAATCAGAGCGCCGAATGCGTACTCGTTACAATTTGGAAATTGACTCGTTACAAATTGACTGCACGGTTGGCGCGGTGGCTGGGCAACTGGCTGCCGCGCAACGTGTCGCGGGTTCGATTCCCGCACGGAACAACTCTTTGTGTGATCCACAGATTGTTGTTCCGGGTCTGGGTGTCATGTATATGTGATATTCTATGTTTGTAAACGCACCCACGATACAGGAGAAAATCCTAGTGTGGGGCAACGTTTTTATTAAAAAAAAAAAATACTTTAAACGTAAAACAAACTTGTACTAAGGCCTCGGCTATCAAAATCAAATCAAATCAAATCAAATCAAATGTCTTTATTTGCTGAACAGAGGTGTAGTACATAACTAATTAGTGCCTAAGGTGTTATTTATTTTTGTTGCATGTTGTGTACTATGTCAAAATATTTCTTGCACAACCCCAAAATCGTGCCGGTTCTCTTTGCGAGCTCTGCCCCCGAGCAAAATGAAGGAGGTGTAGTTAAAGATCGAGCTCAAAGAGACCTATGCTCATCAGTGGTTGGCTACATGTTGGTGACTATAGTGAATTTGAAATACTAAAAGACTACTAAAAAAAAATATTGTCTTAAGACCAGTATTTTTTTATACACGTATTACAGAAACGAATAAAACATAACATAACATTCGTTTCTGTAAGAAAATAAAAAATACATGTTTAAAGATTTAAAATAATCTACCAGACGGACATTAAAATAAAAATTTGTCATCTACCCTATTCCCATAATCACGATGAGTGGCATAATCCCCTTATATTTAAAGACTATTGTAACATTTTAATAAAGAAAAAAAATATATAGATGACTCGATAAAATGAAAACTAACGCTAGTGGCTCCGTTCTTTGCTCTCAAGTGTAGATGAGCAGTACCTAAATGAGCTATCTTCTATGTTGAGGTGATATGTCAAGTGTTCCATGTTGGGAAATGAACACTCATTAACCATCTACCCTGGGAAACTGTCGCGGAGAACATAACGGGTTACCGGGGCTCCGGCTCGAAGTGCAGGAGAAGGAACGTAGTGGTTTTTAGTCAGTAAGAGTCTGATACTCCCTCCCGTCTCACACAGGCGGGAGCAGTCATTCGATGATTTTCCTCCCATAAAAAACCTTGGAAAAACTGAAGACAACAAAAAAATCACTAAATTGAATAACTTCGTACTGCTACTACTAACTATGAGGAATTATCAGTTTCCTATCTTAGTCACGTACCCATAAACAGTGTGTAGGCGAGTAGTTAAAGCTCTTCCCTAACCGACGACCTTTTAAGACACACGACTACAAAGATTATAATCGGAAAATATCTAAAATTGACATCATGGCTACGTAACATAGGTATGTTTATTACTTTATTACTGAATATGTGAAGGGTCTATGAAAGAAATTGTGCAGAGGCACAGCAGATACCTAGTACATATATGTAGAATGTTCATGCATCAAACGCCTGCTAGTTAAATTGTAGCAAATCACTTAATTCATTGCCTGATTAAGATCGCAGGGAGCTGCTGGATGCCGGTCGCTTCCAACCGGCCTATCTGGAAGTCATTGGGGGAGGCCTATGTTCAGCACTGCAGCAGTGGACGTCCTGTGGCTGATATGATGATGATGATGATTAAACTGTCAAACACCGCGAGGACACCGGTGTCCACACACCTATTGTTCTTTAATTGTGTCTATAATGACGGTGAGTCTTTCAGAGAGGGTAACTATACTGAATAAATAAGTAGGTGTTTTTATCTAAATCCAGCCATATCTTGAAGCAAGCCGTAATTCTAGACATGATGATCAGACTTACAAGGGAACATTTTGTACTGTCTTATTTTAAGACATTGGGAACCAACGGAATTCTGTATTCTGTATAAAGTGTGATGTCATTATGTGACATTGTATATATTGCTACAAAAATTAGATCATTACTAGGCATGAATCAAATGATGTGAATGACCTAATCGGATGTTTGCTGTAAAAAGTTAATAATATAATTTCACACTGAGCAATGCTCTGAGCTATGATTTAATTGTAATGACTCAGTAAACAAACAGTTTCAATATTTCACTTTACAGTGCAAAAAAACTTTAAAGCTTTAAATTCATTCATAAATAGATAAGTAATCTTTGGGTAACTTATCTCCATTGCCTTGACAGAGTTTGCAAGAACTGATTTCTGATTGTCACTTACAATTTCA